GTACGGCCCCATCCCCTGCCCCCTCCCAGCCAGCCTCACGTTCCCCTCGTGCCATCGAAGCCTCCCCAGGGATCAGCTCCCGGGAAGCCCTCCCATCCCTCTGGCAGCCGCCCAGTGCTGGCACTTGGGCTCAGCTGTTGGCTGCTGTCACGGGGGCCAGCAGCTGCCTGGCCAGCCAGTTGTCCCCTCCTTTGGGGACAGTTTTTGGGATGTGCCGACCAAGGGTCTTGGTGGGGAGAAGTTTGGGGTCTCTGGCTGCCTCAGGGGAGGTCACTGAGCACTGGCAAACTCATTCTGCTGGTGGTTCCTGGAGATACTAGGGGGTGGCTGGAGGGGATAGTGCCCAGGTGGTTTCTGGGGGTGACATGGTTTGGAAGCAGGGGCACAGACCCTGCACTACTCCGTTAACACCCTGAGGGTTTCCAGTTTCCCAGTGTCACCGAGAGGAGGGGGAACAAACCCAGCCCTTCCCTGCTCATCAGGGAGCTCCTGTCCATGGGAAGCAAGAGCTCTCCTTGTCCACGCAGGAGCATCCAAGGGGGAACCCCACCAGTGTCCTTGCTGTGGGTGGGCGAGGGCAGCTCTGGAGGTGGCTGAATTGCCCTCAACACCAGTTTGGGTTTGACTGAGCTTGTTTGAGCTGTTTTTGTAACTTTTCTACCTGGAAGGTGTAAAATCCCAGCCCTGAGCAGCCGGCTGTGGTGCAGCAGAGCTGGGCCCTGGCTGGACTTATACTCCCACTTTGCAACTGGGAGTAAAACTCTCACAGAGTTTGTCCCCAAGGGACCCATCCCCTCTTTGGGCTCAGTAAATCATCCCGATTCACCATCCCAGCGCCCAGCTCCTGCTCCAGCACAGCTGCTGGAGGAAGCTCAGCAAGGATGGGCCATCCAGTTACCCCCTTTTTACTGGAAAAGGGTCAGCTGGAGCCATCTCCTGGGCTTGGAGCAGCCACAGCTGGCCATGAGAAGATCCTGCCTGCGACGCTCAGCTATTGATTTGCTTTTGGCTCCGTCAGGCTGGACTGAAAGCTTCTGCCTTCCCCTCCCCTCTCTCCATGCTTCCCTTTCCCATCGCTCTCCCTCCTCCAACCAACCCGCGGCCAAGCGGTGAGGAATCGGGGAAGGGTTTTCATCCCCATGAATGCAGCCGGTTACGTAAGAATAATTGGGATAAAGGAGCTTATTTATCACGGCCCCGTTCCATTTTAACGGGGTCCAAGGCGATTGCTGGGATGGGTTACGTAAAAGCCCACACAGAGCATCTCATTGTCCGGTGGTGGGATGCAGGAGCTGCTGATGAAGAGGAGCTGGGGCTGGGTGAGGAGAGGATGGGTGGCTTGGCAGAACTGGGAGGAAGATGGAGGGTTTCTTCATCCATGTGTTGGGAGGGAAAATCCATTTCTTTATTCCCTGTCCACCTCCTGCATCCCTAAAACACCAGCCTTTAGGGTATGGTCTTTGATATCTTCGTATAAGTCTTTGCCTGGTTCTTCTCCATGAGGACAGAGGCTGGAAACTCATCTCCTTCCTCTTCCTCACCCCAAGAAACAGGAGCCATGGGGGCTCCAGATGTGCATCCCACCTCCACCGAGCAGCTGGCGAGCACCTCCTGCCCAGCTGGTAATGTGGGTGCTGCTTGTTTGCCTCCTAAACCCTTCTGTGATGCCTCCTAAACCCTTCTGAGATGCCTTCAGGAGGGTTTTCGTTTCCAGATGAGATTATCCAGTGGGGAACAGTGCTTGGTAGGAGTCGAGGAAAAGCAGAGGAGTTCTGGAGGATGCCAACATCTCCCAGAGGTTCCCCAGCAGCCCTTGGGGGAGATGTGGGGACCCAGGGAGCATCCCAGTTTCAGGAGAAGCTGGGGAGCTGGGTGGGCTCATTCAGGTCTCCCCGATGCTGGAGAGCTGAGTCAGTATTTCAGGTGTCCTCAGACAAACACTTAAGAAGGCAAGAGACTGGAGAAAAACAGGAAATCCCCAAATCTGAACAAACACAGAAGAAAAGGAAAAAAAGAAAAAAAATCTGGGTTGTGGTTTCTAGTCTAAAATGTTAAAAATTTGGGGAATGCCTCAAGGTTTGTCAAGCAGGACATTCCTGCCGTGACCCCCCAGGCAGATCAGCATGGGCTGTGCTGTGTTTTGGGGAGAGCACTGCTGGCAAGGTGTCCAACAGAGCAGAGACACCTTCCAGTGTCACCAGCTGGAGCTCCAGAGCCCCCAGCACCGGATCTCAGGGGAGCTGGAGCATGGAGGAGCTCAAAGAGCAACAGGGCAGGTTACTGGAAGAAAGGGGGGTTGCAGAGGGAAAGGCAGCCTCTGGCTCCGGGGTCCTGGGTCGCACAGCACCAGGAGGGAGCGGATTGTGCCGGTGGCCACGCTCACTCCCTACCAGTTCCCTGGTGTTGGGAGGATACTGGTCTGACTGGGCCATCACGTGCCATCTGTATCCGCGCTGCTGCACACTCCCAGCAGGTGTCAGAGTGGAAAGCGATGCTGAAACCTCTGGAGGGAGGTCAGCAGGGGGCTCGAGGTGGCAGCAAGCTGCAGTGGTGGGTGACACCAAGGTCCAGCCCAGCTATTTTTTTTGACCTGGTGGGAATAGCTGTAGCCTCCAGACACAGAGCCTGGTGTTGCCCCACAACATCTCCCTTCTGGCGCCACCACGCTCACCCAGCCGCTGGTGCACCCGTATCTCTCATCCCTGGTCCTCTCTGCCCTCTGTGTGGGCTCGGGTCAGGGTCTCAGCTGTGCTCATGAGCCATCCTTCCACCTC